AAACTAACCTACCTCTACTAATAAGCCTATACTAATATATACACTAATAATAATTAGATTATATATATAAAGGTCTATAACTATAAGGGGAAGATTATATCCCACTCCCTATAGTAGGGTTACTATAAATATATCTAATAGATAGTAGATTAAGGCCCCTGAGGCATATAGCATATTACTAAGTAGGCCTAGAACTACTAGGGAGGTAGCTAGGCAGGAATTATATCTATACTCTACCTAGGAGACTAAATAGTAGAGATACTAGAATAGAAGGCTAATCTATTCTAAGAGGCCTTCTTCCTATCACCCCTAGCTACTAACCTCTTAGATATTAAAGATAGGATATATAACTAATCATATAATATTATCTTCCTAGAGATTAATAATTAGGAAATTATTAAAGCTATTAGGTAGGTATCTTCTAAGAAGGCACCTAGACTAGATACTATCTCTAATAAGGTTTAGTATACTCTAATAGTAATCCTAATATTTATCTAAGTACTTAAGACCCTCTTTAATATCTATATCTATACTAGCTATAACCCCTAATACTTCTAGATATCTACTATAGTTATCCTTTATAAGGGGGCCCCCTAGGACTTCTACCTTCTAAAGTCCTACTACCCTATTACCCTACTTAGTATTCTAGGTAAGATCCTAGAGTTAATAATTATACTCTATATCTCCTAGGCTCTAGAAGAGTATAGCCTGCTCCTAAAGGGCTACTTAGGTAGCTAGAAGGGTGTCTCTATTAACTATATTATCTAACTAATTATTAATATAATCTACTACACCTAGGGGTATAGCTAGAAGGTTAGTATACTACTACTAGATATCTCTAGTACCTTTAATAATATCTCCCTCTAATATCTACTATATAATCTCTAAACTATATAGCTAGGCTAGATTACTAACTAGCTATAATCCTTCTTATTAGACTACTATACCTGCCTATAGCTATCTAGATACCTTAGTAAGCTATTTATAATACTTATAGAGATCTTATAGGGCAGCCCCCTCTTATCTATCCTTTTTCTAATTTTTAATACCCTACTAATCTGAACACTGGTCTACTAGATTAGTAATATAAAGATAATATTAATTAGCTAGATAGATAACTCTTATATACTTACTATTAGCCAGACCTATACTTAGAATATTATAGTCCTAGAGAAGTGCCTTAAGAAGGCAGACTATTAGGCTAGTAGATATACTACTAGATTTACCCTTAATAAATTTAAACTAATCTACTTCACTAATCTAAAGGAACTAGAACTAGAACTAGAACTAGAACTAGGATCCTTACTTAGGCTAGCTCTAAGAAGCTCTACTAATATCTAGGAACTAGGTAAATATAAAGGCTATAACTAGATATCTATCTACTATAGAGAAACCACTATTTAACCTACTAAGTTAGCTAGATATCTTAGTATCTAGCTTAATAAAACCCTCTTCTTTAATACTCACTGTACCAAGGTGCTTAACTATATAAATAGTAGCCTAGAAGTACTATATAGCTATCCTAATTAGTAGTACCTTCTAGGGGACTACTATAGCTATACTTAATATAGAACTATACCTACTACTAATCTGCCTGTAGATATAGTAGATTATTAAGGAAACTACTATTTAAATCTAGATAGGACCAAGCTTTACCTACCCCTAGGGACTTATAGAGAAGCTATAACTAACTAGAGAGATATAGTAGAGTAGTCTTACTCTACTAGAAGTACTTAGGAAGAGGGATAGCCTACTAGCCTCTACCCTAAAATACCTAGAAGAATAGGAAATATAAAAAATATATATACTCTCTCCCTAGGAGACCCCCCTCTATTATATAATTAAAGATTATAAAGCTGTACTGAAGATATATAATAAAATATATAAGAATAATAACTAACTAGTTATCTATATTAATAGCAGCAGCTACTAGAGCTATATTAATACCTTAGTTATCTATCTCTATAACTAGTAGATCTACCAGAACTACCTAGGCATGGAGGTAGACTTAATAGTATATACTACTAAGCTAGATAGTATTTATATAGTAATAGATACTACTAGGGAACTAAGCCCCTATTTACTTACCCTCTTCACTAATAGCTAGACTACTATCTAGGCTATCTAGAACCTATATCACCTCTCTAGCCAATATATCCTAGACATAATATATAGGAATATATAGGCCCTAGGGGCATATAGACTACCCCTAGAAAATATTAAGATATACTAGATCCCCGCCCATGTAGGTATGGCAGGGAATAAGGTAGTAGATAAGATAGTAAAGAAGGCTGCTATATAAGGTAGTAAGATTTAATTAAGCCTAGTAGGGCAGTCTAGTTAGCTAGAATAACTAATTATCTAGCTTACTATAGTAGTGAAGTGAGCTATCTACTAATAAATCTAGTAATACTAGAAGAAATAGTAGGAGATAGAGAAGGGGGCTAAGCTAATATAGTAGCTAATTAAGGCCCCCTATAAGAAGAATCTAGGGCTGTATAAGGGCCTACTAAAGCTATATATATTAATTATTACCTAGATATAGACTATATAGATTAGTCTATAATATTTCTTTTTTAAGATTAAGGTCTATAATATAGACTAGTATAACTATAGAGAGGGGTCCTAGACCCCTAAGTATATACTTCTATAGTATTTACTATATATAGAGGCCTATAGGAAGATAATAGCTAAGCTATATAATATAGAGGGAATCTAGGGGAAATTATTAGACTATAATATACTTATATCTAACCTATAGGTAATCTACTATATTACTGAATTTATATATTAAATAGGCCTACTTAGCTAGTTCTACTATGCAGAACTAGGGGAGCTATTAGAGCAGGACTAGGAATATAGAAGCCTCCTATAAGGCTCTAGAATAGATATAGAAGATAATAGTTAGATAGACTAAATAGCTACCTAGGAAGGGTCTTCCTAGGTGCAGAATTACGCTATATTTAGAATAACTATATAGAATAAGATAGGATAGGTATTATGCTAGATAGTATAAAAGAGATATATAGCTAAGTAGCAGGCTGCTTTAGTTATAATTTCTATATTTTTTTTAATATTTCTTATATCTTTATCTGTATTTATAGGTTATAGGATAGGTATTTAGATACTAGATTCCTACTTTATCTAGTAAAGCACCTATATAGCTAGTTACTTCTATAGACAGGCTCTAACAGGTTAATAGAATCTTAATTAATTAATTAATTAATTAAATATATTTCTTAACAGTTACTTAGTATACTTATATAGACTAAATACCACCATAGTATCCTTAAGTAACATAAATTTCTAGATACTTTTAACTAGTTCCTGCACACTTAATTTACATCTAGAATGAAGGATTTATAAGAAGGTTTTAAGCAGACTCTTATAGTATTCAGTTATGTCTTGATTTTTCTGCCTATAGACCTTACATCTTTAGTCATTACTAGTGTATATTATCTTTCTATCTAAGTATGCTTCACATGATATACACCTAGTATACTTTAATAGTTTTAGTCACTACCTTAACCTTAACCTTAGCTATAAACCTTTATCTACTTATTTTTGCACATAGTATAAGCTACTAAGACTCACTTCCTAACTTTATTTTCTAGGTAGGAAGCTTAGATAACTAAGGAATCTATATTTCCCTTTTCTACTTTGGAAGGTGCAGGTAAAATTGGGCGCATCTTGGTTAGCTAACCAAGGTCTTAAATAGAAGGATGATATTCAAAATATAAGTAAAAAACAAAGATATAGATTTTCTAAGGTGCTCACTATATAATCCAAGATATTCCTTCAGCCTTTTATCTCTACTAATAGAGGCTGACATTATTTATGTGCTTCTTCCATCAAACAAAGCATCCTGGGCACGAACAAAGAATCCTAGTCTTGGCGATGTTGGATTCTAGGAAAGTGATTTATCAGGCCATGGCAGATAGTCACCGCATGTATGTGGCGCAGTCTACTTCAGACTCTCACAAAGGCGCTAGTATCATTGGTGGTTTTGGGTATCTGCGCATTCATTCAACCAGAAGTAACAATCAGTGGCTCAGCTTTAACTAATTAACAAAGAGGTACTGTTTGTTGCCCATCTTCTGCAATGGCAAGTTCCCTGCAAGAAAACTGAGTATGGGAAGGACAGATTACCATGAATGGCACAGTAATCCAATAGATATCAATTTAATGCACATATCAGGATTTCTCCAAAGGGATAGTGCACATCGCTTCCAGTCACCTGCATCTCCACTTGTATGATTCTGAAAAGAGGCGTTGATCGACGAGGTTATCGGATGCTCTTTATCCGGCATCCAGAACGAAGAGGCTAGTCGTTAAGCACGGCTCACAGAGGCCAGGGGGACATATTACGGTTTCCGACCCGAAACGAAAGTACTGTATCACCAGTCAGTACTCGATGCTCAGCGCAATATTTTATATAGTATACAAGGGGACTCACTATTCTTGGTAAGCATGGATTATGGGATTGCGTAATCCCTGTCTCATCTTCATGAGATATAGCTCAACTTCTACGCGGCTCCACTGTAGAAAGTGTCAGCAAGGTGAGTACATATCTCAGGTGCTCAGTCAATGCTTTCCCTGAGGACTTTTGTCAACAGCTTCATTGCCCACCCCTCAATTCCTTCCTCCCAGTGCAGCCTGTTATACCGGCCCAGCTCTTTCAAATGCGGGTCCTTGGCCCACGGCCCGATGGGAACTTTGAAACGACGCTCAACAACATCTACAAACCCAGCCGCGATCATTTTCGCTTTCGCTTCATCGACGATCCTTAGGGTTTTTCCAAAAGCGTCGCCCGCTTGTAGGAACACATTTCCCCATTCTTCAAATATTGTGCTGTCAGTACTTCCATCTTCGGACTTCGGTACCATCGATTGTTCTGCTTGTTCGAGGTAGGCGCCTGGCCTTAAATGCCTAGAGCGAAGCCACCACATGTTTTAGTTTTGCGGATTCTCTATAGCGTCATGTGGTCTGGCTACACCTACCGAAGCGCTTTTTTGTAGAATAACACCCAATCCGCGACACACCCGTATAGACCGCGGACGTGGATAAAATCAAAACTATTGGCCGGGAATGTCCACTCATCACAACAGTCGTCCACTTCAAACTGAACATTTGGCGGCACCAAATTTGGTTGAATCGGGGAGAGGTCAGTACCAGTTACTCTCGCAGAGGGGTGGCGATCGGCGAAGTCACTAGGCGATGGAGTGAGTGGATTATATGCATAAATTCATGAAGACCCGGTGGAGCGAACATTGCCCATATGCCAGTTCCTGTCCCAATATCCAACACTTCCTATATCGAGTTTGAAATCAGGTATGGGATCATCTGTGCCAGGAAAAAAGTGACCTGGTTTCCTGCTACATACTTGAGGATTTTTCGATATTGGTGCTAAGTATAATTCCCCGCGGAGAATGAGGGTGTATAAATGATGGCTGAGGATTCTGTCACCATCTGTGCAAGCAATTTTGCTCCAAAGTTGAACTGGCGGCACGTACCCTAAATCAAGATGATCCATTGCGCGCTCATCATTTGGACCCCTATAGTCATCTCAGTCTGAGAATATCTTTCGTGTTATGGATTTCGTATTGCATACCAATAAGCACCAGAGTGATATGCATGATACCGCCGTCCATTCTCATAGTGATAGTCAAGAATACTACTGCGAAGAGATGTCGTTTCTCTAGCCAACATAAAAGATCGGTTAGTGATCCTGACCTGGAACATGACATGTGAGCACATACGACTGGACACTTTCGCAGTACGCTGAGTCGGCTTCCGGTTCCGGATCCTGGTGTTATTTAGCATAGTCTTGAAAGGAAGCTGACTGACGGATATGCACTTAGTCATGACTGAGATATGCTTACCGTGTAGATCCGACGATGATTATTAGCCATTGTTGCTCGCAGATATATATCTCCTGCGATAGTAATAAATGCTTAAAAGAGTTCACACCCGCTATCAAAAGTTATTGCGTTGAGGCGCTTAGATCTTTATTACTGAGCTTGATCAGGAAGATTTGAGGAAGCATAGAGGGGGATACGGGACGGATACGTCGAGGTCCGGGATGCTGACTAAGAGGGCTGAACCGAGCTAACTACCCTGGGGAGCAGGGCTTGACCCAGTCCCAACGGTTGTGGTGCAAAAGTCATCAGCAGTCAGTGAAATACTACATACAACTCCTGAATGTGGATTGGCTATAGCTATGTGGGTCTGTCAATGACTTTTGCAGCACACCGAAAAAGATTTCCCAATGATGTGACAGCACCAATGTTGTCCTCTGTATGTGCCAGAGCGGCACGGAAGGCTAGGATTCCTTTCCGCAGCAAATCAAATCAAGAACGTCTTCTAGTCCATCCTAATCCAGCAAAAGCAATGAGTTGGCCAATGGAACTGGTTTTGTCTTGCGAATCTGTCTGGGATCGCATAGGCCTTATTGTCCCATGAACATGCTGATGGACGTAACAAAATCACGCGGAGATTCTCCTGCCCCTGGCGCTTTTCCAGATAGTCTTTATCACACACAAGCGATTTTACGATTTGATACCTCAAGTCGTAGAAACATACAGTAGCCAACAAGTACACTATGCTCAATATCGACGCCGAGCTCCCCACTAGTGTTATACGGCTGGTTCCTAATTATTTAGAACATCCCAATCTCACGTACCCAATTGACTGAAAGTCGGTAACTCATGCCCGGGAATTTAAGTGTTAAAGTAGAAAGTTGTGAGCCATATGCAGCGTTGGTCTTCTTTTAGGTGACAAGCTATAATTATCTCAACCCCAGATATCACACTGTAGCATGTAGGTGAAATGCGGACATACCTTTACGGTATAGAATCTCTGGGTTCATAATTAGTTTTATCGTACCCACCAGCGCATTAATCTCCATTATCTACAGACAAGGGGATTCGACTGCTAGATTTTGACAAATTTTATAAGCATACGCGCCAGGAAGAGCGGAGGGATTCTTGGGTTTGTAAATATTTAGCTCGGAGGGGCGCAGAAGATCTAAATCGGGCCAAGCGCATACAGCGGCCGACGCAAGAGTTCGTTTCTCATCTACTGCTATGTGCTGATATTCACACCGAATCGAACCAGCTCAAATGAACTGACAGGGCAGGTATGGAGCTCTTGCAGTAAATGCGCGCCATCCGTCTCACACCCGGCCATTAAAAGCGCATGAGCGACGGAGCAACGCACGAGACCAGTATTGAAACTCTTATCCTGGCCAAGGTGCTGCAAGGCTGATAACAGTGGGGTGCAAAAAGTATTCAAGATGAAAAGGTAAAGTGGGTCATGGTCAGGCCCAAATATGGGGTTTAGTGTCTTACTGTGACTGAAACACTCTGCATGTGGATCATAGTTTCTCACCGCTGCTTAGGTTTAGACAAGGACCAAAGTTCTCTAACGCCACGGATTTCAGGGGCCATATATGCCCTTAACCATGGAATTTTCAGTGCAAGCCATGTAAATATAGCTCTCAGTACGGAGGTATGCACCAAAAGTGTTGACTACCACTAGTAAGCTTGGCTGTATCCTGCTGACGCAGCCCCCTAGTAATTTGTATGGTAACACATCTAGAAGGAAAAAAAATATTTAAATAAATCTATCTATAATAGTGATATAAAGCTATTCAAATTATTAGATGCAGCGAACCTATACATAGCTAAACTATGGGGGTCATGTATATAGCACATGACCCATAGAGATATTATTAACTACTAAGGTGCAAGCATCTTGCACCTTAGTAATTAGTTTTACTATAAAGGTATTACTACTGTAGCAGGCAGGGCCCGCTGAGTGCTCCAGCCTACTAGGCACTCGCGATCTGCCTCAGGCACTAATGAACTCTTGTCCAGCAAGGACACCAGCAGTCACGTGACCCTTATAGTAATTAATATAGTAATTAATCTAGTCATATAATCTCATCTACTATTTACACACTCCTTTTTATGTTTGGCTATCACAGCCCTAGTTAGAACCCTTCAGCAATTTCTTACTATCTAAATCTAGGTTATAGATTTATAAGGCTTCTAGCCTATAATATTAGAAATCACTCACTACTAGATAGTCAGACAGAACTAGACAAACCAGATGAACCAGACAAACCAGATAAACTAGATGAACCAGATGAACCAGACAAACTAGATAGTTAGATAGAACCAGTAAGAGACAGCTAAACCATAGAACTAGCTAAGCAGAATTAGATAAAATAGTTAGATATCTATAATAGCTAAAATAGATAATATAGATAATATAGATAGTATAAACTATAATGATGCATTATTACAGATATTAATATTACTAGAAGGACTAAGTAAAGGATATATATAGTAATAGAATACTATATAGATAGACCCTATAGCCTAAATAGCCTAATAGTTATAAAAGATTATAGATTAAATAGCTTAGATAGAGATATAGTAGATAGCTACTACTCTCTAGATAGATACTACTTCTATAATAGTAATACCTACTACTTAGATAACTCCTATAGTACCTACTCCCACTACTATACCTATAAATAAACTAGTAAGAAGGCCTAAACTAATTCTACCTAATCTTAACTAATTTAATAGTATTAATAAGGCTATATATAATATCTTCTATTCTAACTTACTATAGAAGCTAGAAGTTAACTACTTTATATTTAGTAGTTACTATAACTATATATAGTATACCTTTACTAGGCTTAAGGACCAGGCTATAACTATAATAAGTCCTTAGATAGACTAGTATATCTAGAACTATACTATAATAGGAGCTAATCTAGATTATATAATTAGCTAGCTTAACCTTATATTCTAGGATAGAAATTATCCTAAGAAAGCTATAGAAGAACTATACTACTTATAATAGGATAATCATCCCTTTTATAATATACTAGTAGACTTTAACTAGCTACTAATAGAAGCAGGAGGTTATAGTTAGACTAATAATATAAAGTAAACCTTTATTAATAGCACCCTAAATATAGAAATATAAATATAACTCTTCAGCATAGCTAAGGAAGTAAGTTTTAAAGAATATTACTAGTAGCTATAAATAATTATAAACTAAATTAAAGCTTTCTATGCACAGGGAGTAGCTTAAGCTAAATAGTATAAAAGAAATATATAGACTATAAATTATAGCTATATTACTTATATTTCTATACTCTTAATAAACCTAGTCTTAAGTGCACCAGGCCCTAGTAATTCTATAGATTAGGAACTAACTACTATAACTCTAGCTTACTAGCATTAATACATAAAATAAGTTAATAAAGCTAAATAATCTTATTATTAAACTAAGAATAGATACTTACACTATAGGGCCTTTAACTATATAATTAAGAGATACTAGTACCTTAGGGCTATCCCTCTATAAAATAAAGGGGGGAACTAGCCCTATACTACTTAGGCTATAGGGCCTATGCTTAAAGATAAAGAAGATAAATAGTCCCTAGGGCCTACTAATAAAGATAGTAAGCTAGAAAACTAGTTACTCCTGTAAAAAGACTCTTATAGAGGCCTATTAAATAGTTAATATAACTAAAAAGCTAGCATTACCTATACCCTAAAGAAGATATACTTACTAATTATAGAAAGTTTTAATAGACTATTAGATTTAATACTCCTAAATTTATTATATCTAGAATTATTAATAAAGAATATAATTATAGAATTCTACCTAATACTAAATATATATCTTATATAGTTATAGCTGAACACTTCACCTAGAAGTTATAACTAAAGTAGATTAAGATTAAACCTATTTATCTTAAGAACTATACTAGTATAATAGGAAGTATTATCTTAACTATTACCTACTTCTTACTAGATATTAGTAGTAACTATTAACACATTATCTATATATATATAGTGCTAAAGTTAGGAGACAGAACTAACCTAATCTTAGGGACCCTATAGATAGTAGACTAGAGAGTAGTTATTAAAGTAGAGAGACCCTAGTTATAATTTACTAATAGCTTTACTATTAAAAGTATTAAGAATAAGCTAAAACTAGTAGTAAAGTAGATTAGTATATAAGGGTTTATAGTCTATAACTAGTAGTATAAGAAAGATAAGACTATATAGATCTTTACTACTAGTATTAAGGATATTAAGAAGGCCTTATAGATTAAGAAGTATACTAATCTAGCTATAAAGCTCCTAGCTTACTACTATAAGTTCCTAGAAGTATTTAATAGGGAGAAGGCTAATAAGCTATTATTATACTATCTAGAAGTAGACTATTAAATTAAGCTAGTTAAGGATAAGAAGAATAAGATAATAAAGCTCCTATAGAGATCTCTATATAGTATATCTTATAGAGAACTACTAGTACTATAGAAGATATTAATAGAGCTATTTAAGAAGGGCTTTATCTATATAAGTAGCTTAGCTACTACTGCACCTATACTATTTATCTATAAGCTAGGGGGTGGACTATAATTCTATATTAATTATTATATACTAAATATAATTACTAAGAAAGACTATTATCTACTTCTATTAATTAATAAGACCCTGGAGCATATCTCTAAGGCTAAGTAGTTTACTAAGCTAGATATAATTACTATATTTTATAAGATTTATATCACCCCTAGGGATAAGTAGCTAATAGTATTCTATATATAATTTAGCCTATTTAAATAGCTTATTACCCTCTTTAGTATAGTAAACATACTAAGCACCTTCTAATAATATATAAACTAGACCCTCTAAAACTTCCTAAATAAATTCACCTCTATATATATAGATAATATACTGATCTTTACTAATAGCTTATTAACTAAGTATTAATAGTATATCTAGTAGGTGCTAAAGTATTTAAAGAATATAGGGCTATAACTAGATATTAATAAGTATAAATTTAAGGTAAAAAGTATAAAGTATCTTAGATTTATTAT